GCCACACAAAGCGTACATACCGGCAGCGAGAAGAGGTACCATAATTTCGGTACATAAAATAACCATAATTAAAGTACCATAACCACAGGTGCACGTGGAGAATTGACGACGATCAGCAGCACGAGATCCGATCGCACGGACAGCGCCCGGCCGCGGTGGATCGTGGCATCGAAAGACGAAGCCTTCAAAAGAAGTGAGTGATTTAAGACGAAAGGGTCGTCGCATTGAAGCTAATGGAAGTCGTTCCAGGGCTTTTGTTCCATACTTTCAGCACCTCATTGGATCGGATTGTCTCGTGATCGTGACACGTGGTCAGTGTCGAAGCCCGCATCACCTGCGGAACCCTCAGGCGAGGTTTATTCTCCTCGGAGTGCTTGCGACATCGAAGCGACGGGGCACGCCGCTAGCAACTAGTGGTCTCGACGGAAGCGACGTCCAACGTGGAGGGAAACGAACCCGCGAGCACTTACGTTGATATGATCGACGGTGTTTCGAGGAGTGAATCCCCACCCAGAGCGACGGCAGGAGCGCAGGTGTGTTGTGCGTGTGGAGCCGAACAGACGTGCGAATAGCAGCATCATCGAGACGGCGTTTGTGCGACGGTAAGGGTGCACCCGACCGGCAAAGTGAGTACTCATAAGAAGAAAAATTGACATAGTTGGAAAGATGATAGGAGGCACAAGGTTGCCGGAAAAGTACGAAGGATAGAGAGAGGAAGAAGAGGAAGTAGGAATCAGGAGTAGGAATGTGGGAGAATGGGTGCGAATGAATAAATGTTAAACTGTTATTCGACACTCTTTTGCTTTGGTTGGAGCAAATGCCGATTAGTGTTTGTGTTTTGTTGGCCCTACGGTAGTTCTGCTCTACCGCTACCGGGGAACTTGTAACAATTGTTATTATTACTCTAATAATGCACAGTTTGAAATCTGGTGTTTCAATATGAATTCCCGTTTCTCTAAATAATTTTCATCATAAAATAAAGGTTCTACTTCAATTTTTGATCATAATATAAAACTTCTACTTCCCGAAATGACTCATTGAGTTTCTTTTGATCATATAAATCCTGTTTCAATCATTCGTGCACTCAAATCGATGCGGTAATAAAAGATTCTGTAAAAAAATTTTGTGGGACAGTTATGCGTAGAATTTCAACATGGGACAATTAGACTTGATGTTGTTTTTAAATAAGCCCAAAACAAATAACATGTTTTTATATTTTCATTCGAAAGTTTACCTAAAAAAGTACTGTTTTATGAACAAAAGTGAAAAACGTCCAAAATTAACATGGGACAGATATGCGTAGAACGGCAGTATATAGCTAGTAAACGAATTTCAATGAATTCAGTATTTTTTTTATTAAAAACATAATGTTTATTCTTCAAAAAAACGACAATGTATATTTGAGAAGGGGCCCTGGTCAGCCGTACGCGCAACTTAGTCGCGATGCTCTCAAAAGAGCACTGGACGGCACTGAAATCGTTCTCATTTTTTATTGAACACCCGTAAGTTTTGTTTAATCCATCATTAGTACTAAACCCAGTCTGTTGATAATCAAATAAACAAATGAGATACTAATTGAATACGTCCAAAACATTAAACATTTATTTGGTGTGCCATCATAACGACTACTTTTCTTCTCTTATGACACTTTTTAATCACTATTTTACAACTATAAGTCACTATTTGGTCACTTATTTCTTCAGCATGGTCACTAAAATCACTATTTTTGACAGTAGTGATCGCTTCCAGCCCTTCAAATGACATGACAGACGGCAGAACGACGACGACAACCCCGCAGGCTACGGACATAGACCCTGTCTCGGAAATTAATCACAGCTTCGTTCACTTATCTTACTTTTACAACAGTCGACACAGAACTCTGATATCCTTAAACTCTGTAAAAAACCACTATGTATTTTTTTTCCGGGGGTCAGCACTTATTCCCTTCTCTTTAAAGAGACGAATTAGCTAAGGGCAGAAAGTCTCTATAATAAATCAGAGTATTCCGGCGGCGACGACTTTAATTGAACCCAGGCCTGCTGGGGTGAGAGGTAATCACCCTTACCATTACACCACCGGCGCCGCTAAGTCGCAGAGTTTTAAAAGTACAAAATCTTGGATCTAGGGTTTCTGTGTCTGTCTGTCAAATATTTTCGATTTCTAAATTAACTAGATGATCGATTCTCAACGTTCCACTACCGTTTAGTAAATCTAGCAGGGTATCACTGAATCGGGAAACCAGAAATTTGTTTTAAATTTTACAATATTTGTCGTACCTATGTTGATGGAGTTCTATCAATTAATATTTTAAGTCCGATGGCTCGAATATATCTTTAAGGGTAGATTTTTTGTTACTTTTCCATAGCACTGAAATGCAGACTTTGACCTAAAAAAAAGCAATATTCCAGTGTCTAGGATTTATAATATGATGTTAGTACCTATACAAAATAGATCAGATTTTTTTATAATCCCTAATCTTAAATTTCTGTGCACGGAATCTCGAAAATGTTCAATGTTTGAATTTACTGAATTATTTCTTAGGAACGATCTCATCTTAGGATATCTTTGCAAATAGACTCATTTGGCATTCTCTTATCATTATATTCTAGCCAATCAATAACCATTAGTTTTTACTTTGACTATATGTTTAGTATTACTTCTGCGTGAAGTCAACGATTTACATAGTTGAAGATGCTAATTTCAAATAACATACTCAAGTGGTAATTTTTATACAATAGATGAGGAGATGAAAGTATAGAATTGATAGTTCCGTTAGAGTACGGCAGAGTGAAAATTGCATATAGACTAGAAAGCTAGCAAGGACAACTTTAAGAAGATACAAACCGGTTTGAGTCTTCCTTCAGATAACAACTTAAGTGCGGTAAAAATCGATAGAACTGTTTCAAACACATCGTCGGTACTTGAGCGTGTCGGTGATCATCTCTTTTTGCCAGTGATGGCGGGGGAAATACCCCTCACCATCCCTCTCCAACGGGGGAGTTTGGTAAAAGGAGATGATCAAACCGGTTTGTACCTTTCTAAACATGTCCTTGCTTGTTTTGTACTCTCTATATGCAATTTTCACACAGCCGTTAACGGAACTATCAACTCTATACTTTTATCTTCTCATCTATCGTATGAAAATTACCACTTTCGTCTGTTATTTGAAATTAGCATCTTCAACCATGGGTTTTTGTTTAAATCTGAGATCTTCAAAATACGCATTATTTGAAGTATTGCTTTTTTTTACCATATTGAGCTGGTTATATGAAACCGGACAAAAAACCGGGAATTTAATTTCGTAGATTGAGTGGCTACCCTGGGTCTGCAGGCGGGACTTCCTACTAATGCTTAAAACCGGGTAAACTAGAATAAAGGGTGATACGGTCAAAATTTGGTCAAGGGAAAACGCGTGTAAATCGGTGAAATCGTTTACTTAAAAAATCAAATTAAATTTCTTTTTCAAGTTCAATTAGTATAAAATTCAGGAAAAATATTCAGTTAGGCTTCCGCTTTTCCAAATCCGAATTGCCGGGCCTTACGCTTGACCCCTGCCATCAGATTTTGTACAGCCACCTTGTCCACCTTCTTCGTCGCAGAAAGCCAGTTTGCCTTGAGCTGCTGCTCGCCCTTAGCAGTTTTTTTGGTCTTCTTTAGGTTCCGCTTGACAATAGCCCAGTATTTCTCAATTGGGCGGAGCTCTGGCGTGTTGGGAGGGTTCTTGTCCTTGGGAACCACCTGCACGTTGTTGGCGGCGTACCACTCCATGGCCTTTTTACCGTAATGGCAAGATGCCAAATCCGGCCAAAACAGTACGGAACAACCGTGTTTCTTCAGGAAAGGCAGCAGACGTTTATTCAAACACTCTTTCACGTAAATTTCTTGGTTGACAGTCCCGGAAGCTATGAAAATGCTGCTTTTCAAGCCACAGGTACAGATGGCTTGCCAAACCAGATATTTCTTTGCGAACTTTGACAGTTTCATGTGCTTGAAAATATCTGCTACCTTTCCCCTTCCTTTTGCCGTATAAAACTCCTGTCCCGGAAGCTGCTTGTAGTCGGCTTTGACGTAGGTTTCGTCGTCCATTACCACGCAGTCAAACTTCGTCAGCATCGTCGTGTACAGCCTCCGGGATCGCGCTTTGACCGTCGTATTTTGTTTATCATCGCGATTTGGAGTCACTACCTTCTTGTAAGTCGATAGTCCGGCTCGTTTTTTGGCTCGATGCACGGTTGTAGACGATACACCCAGCTTATTTGCGGCATCTCGGAGAGAGAGGTTAGGGTTTCGCTTGAAACTACCGGCAACTCTCTTTGTCGTCTCAGCGGCTTCCGGTTTTCGATTTCCCCCCGATCCAGACTTCCTGGCTGTCGACAAACGTTCCCCAAACACTTTAATTACATTTGTAACGGTTGATTTGGCAACTTTTAGCGATTTTGCCAACTTTGCGTGCGAGTAGCTCGGATTTTCGCGATGCGCGAGCAAAATTTTGATACGCTGCTCTTCTTGCTTGGACGGCATTTTGACAACTGAAGAGTGAATTCCAAAATCAAAATAGGAGCAACATTCTACACACACACACCTTCAAAATGAGGGGTGTTCAGGTTTTTAAAATGCAAAATTGAAAGAAATACGTCAAGTTGATATTGACCAAATTTTGACCGTATCACCCTTTAAGCTACTTTTTATTTACACGATTCAGTTCGACATTCGGGTTTATCGCTCTCCATTTGTGCATAAATCAATAAATTATTTATAAAATGCAGTTGCATTTGATTTGAATGAAAAAAAAAACTTCGTACAATCGCGCGGATTAGGCACAAGATTTTTCATTTCAAATTTCTCGTAACATCCCCGCATTTCTACGGTGATTCTTAGCATTATTTTCTTCTTGTTTACCCTCATCCTCAATTATATTCTCACAAACTAAAAATAAATCAATAACAGCAAATTATCATTACATCAATTTCCTCTATTTCTTCCCCCCCCCCCCACCCCAGGGCAAAGTCGAGTACCTGGTCAAGTGGAAAGGATGGAGCACCCGGCACAACACCTGGGAACCGGAGGAGAACATTCTCGACGAACGGCTGATCGACATATTCGAACGATCGCTGCGAGGTAGTTCGACGCCGAAGCGCAAGAAGAAGCCAATCATCGAGGATTCCGATGAGGATGATGTTCCGGTTCCTGCACCCGTTCCGTCGGCAGCGCCGGTCGCTAGCACTCCTGAACCTGCATCGGAACCGGAGATACCACCCATCAAGGAAACGATCAAGAAGGAGAAAGAGGACAAGCTGCACATCAAGAAGGAAAAGGATTCCGGGGACAGCGCCAAGCCGTTGTCGGCTGCTGCAGCATCCAAGTCAACCTCAAGCAATGAACATCTCAGCACCCCTAAGGATAAGTCCGCCACCAGTAGTGAGGCAGCTGGTACTTCCTCCGGAGGAAAATATTCCTCGCCTGGTTTGAAGATATCCATCTCCGGCCAGAACAATGAAAATGACACGGCGTCCAATAGCAGCGACGATCAGCCGTTGAGTCACAAAGACTTGGCTGGTACCAAGCGGAAGGCCGAAGTGCTATCCAAAGAGGGTAAAGTTGGCGTCACTATCAAAACCTCCCCGGACGAAAGCCCTGCAGCCAAAAATCAACGGCTAGAGGCCCCCTCAATGGTCACGCCGCTGACATCCGGTCCAAAGTCGGACCTCAAACCAGTGGCTCCCCTCTCGCCCGATACACCTGCATCACGACCAGAATCAAACATTCCACTGGTGGACAAATCGGCCGCTGCGGGAGTGGCAAACAACGTTCCTCCGGAGGATAAGGCACCCAAGAAACCCATCTCTAACGATTTTCCACCAGTTAGCAATAACAACACGATAAACAAGCATCAGCATCTGACGCTATCGCCTCGCGCCGCACCCCCACAGCTGTGGCTTCCGAGGTCACAGCCCACCAATCAGGTTTTCATCACCGACGTCACGGTTAACCTGGAAACGGTCACCATTCGGGAGTGCAAAACCGAGCGGGGATTCTTTAAAGCGCGAGACCTGAAGAGTGACATTGTCAACTAAAACCTGCCGGGCAATCCGGGACATTTCTCGTAAATTTGCTTCGCAATCTTGCAGCGAAGGGACCTGACTTTAAATTGTAAATAGCTTTTTACATCGCCGCCACTCTGCTGGAAGGACTGTATTTTGTGTCCCACTACGTGTGTACAGAGAAAAGCGTGTTGAGCGATCTGGGTAGACCCAGATAAACAGAAGGCAAAACTTGAATCAAAGCGCTTACATCAAGATAAAGGATCTAGTGATAGTGATACAAATCAGTAACATCAAAAACTATAAACATTAAACTAACTTGCAGTTACTGGTAACAAACAAGCAACAAGAAAGCTAATGATATTGAATATAAATGTTTAGTTTGTAGTTGACTTCAGAACGATGAACCTTCTTGGGCTCTCAGACATGGGCAGAGAATTTTAGGATACATGTTGTTTTAATATCCCGGCCAAGCAAAACAAGAATGATTCCAGAACTGATAATTATTTGCATAACGGTTGAGCTTTTCTAAAAAGATGAAAAATATTCGTTTTAAGTTGTCGCATTAGAGATTAGGTTCCCCGAAAGCCAGGAATATTTTATTTATTCTGCAGCAACAGATGTCTCTTTTAGGTTTTAAGATTTTTTTTTGGTCTCTTAATAGATATCGACATGCGGATTAGTTTTTAGCCATAAGTTTTAGATTGTACGTTCTTCAAACCCACACACATACACATAACTACTGTTGCAAATTCCAGTCTAGTGTAGGCGGAGCGCACCGAGAATGAGACGCGCTGAGATAGAATCAAACGGCTTCTCGAAATACACTTGTGTAATTCTCGTTAATTATTGACTAAATTATTCTTCTGACCAAAAATGAATTTCTAGTTTCTATATTTCTTATTTATTGTCAAACGAAAAAAGTTTAATTTTAGGAAGTTCTTCAAAAGAATCTACTTTTGGGTCATGATGAAACAAACAAAAATCACGGATCACTAAAACAAAAAACCGTATACAGGCACAACTAAATACCTACCTATACCAACCAATAGAGAAAACAGAAGCAAAACAAACAACAAAAGCAAGAAAAAACAGTATGCATTCATTCTACTTACTAGCAATTGTATGTATTTTCTCCTAGTTTATAGAGGTATTGTTACAACAGTATAACAACAAAACAACAATAAAGCAGGAACATAAGTATTTGAAGTCAGGTTTTGTTTCGGACGGACGGACGTTAGTGGGTATCACATTTTCCGGTGGCTCAAGATTTGTCGCTTATTTTTGAATGTTGAATGGGTCTGTTCTCTAGGCTAAATAAGCAATTAGCAATGTGATGACTCGCGAGGGTTGGTGAATAGAGATGGCTGCATCATTTTTTCAATCTTTGCTCAATCTAAGGTTTAATGGGATGGGACTTGAATCGTTTACATCTCTAGAAACTGATGGGATTTTTTTCTGGTGCTAATGTAAAACGAAGCAACGCGCAGTTACACCACCGACAAACTGACATGAAACTTAAACTTAACTCTTGATCGAGAATCCATTACGGCTGATTCAAATGTGCAGCGATCCCATCTGTCAAAACCATAGAAATGTTTTATCTAGATAAAAATAATTTGTCCAAAATAGATTGGACACGAACCAACTCATAAATTTTGTACGTGAGTTCGTGGCTAGGATAGATATTTTCCGCGAACATGGCGGCAGATGTCAGTTTTGTGATTTGATCAGATATTTCTTTGTAATATATATGATCATTCATGTCGGTTTGTCGCTGGTTACACCACCGACAAACCGACATGACACTTAATTTTGACTTATGCCCGAAAATCGTAAACGGCCGATTTAAATGTGCAGTGATCGGAACTGTCAAAACCATAGGACTTTTTTAACTAGATAAAAATAATTTGTCCAGAATAGATCAGACACGAACCAATTAATTACTTTTGCATGTGGGTTCCCTAATAAAAAATAACCACTGTTTTTACTCTCTTTTGCGTAAATTGAATGTACGTCAGAATCTGCATACTTTTTACACCACATAGTAAACTTAAAAATGCGTAGTTTTGACACCCCGAACAAAGTATAAATGCGTAATTTATACTCCCACATGGATAGTTAAATGCATAGTTTTCACATTGAAAAAAAAAAATATACCTACGATAAAACAAATTTTGTATTTCAAGTTCGTTTCAAATATTGAATGAAACTGAATAAGAATTTTAACAGCAATATTTATTTATTTATTTATTTAATTAAATGGAATAAATCCTTTCTAGATTTTATTCGCATCAATCGTCAAAACACTTACACCAATCCATCGAATCAGCGGTGCTGCCAACTCCTCCTCGACCCCCAATGGCATCACGTTTGGCGGTTTTTTAACGCCTTTTCTGGACAGTTGGCCCATGATTCGGAGGCATCCGCGGACATGATCTACATTTAGATGAAAGTTTAATTTAACACGTAATGAATACTCGATGTCCTTTTTTATTCGGTTAAATTTTTTTATTTGGTTAACAATAAAAGTAAATACTTTTATTACCTGCCAGTGTCGTAAATACGTCCTGTTCCAAAGTTTTGGACAATTCCTCCATTTTCCGCTGACCCACCGCTGACACTTTTGCAGAAATCCAGAACCGGGAACTGAATTACAACGCTGCTTTTCCAATGAACGCTGTTTTGAAAATGGCGGCACGGCAAATTTTCTTTTCTCAGCGGGGACTACTTTTTACACATTTTAGTTCGTCGTTGACATACTCGGAAATGCGTAAAAAGTACTTCATTTGTAACTTAAATCTAAACATTTTTTTACGTATAAACCGTATTCTAGAAAATGTGTAAAACATAGTCATAAAAGGAGTATTCTAGAATTACCGTGTAAGCTTTACAAAGTCAATTTACAGAACGTGATACATATGCAAACAGACATAACACTTCATTCTGGGTTATTGTTCAAGCATGTGTAACGTTCATTTTAAATATTATTACTTTCGCAAATCGCCTACCAAGTATTGGATCACCTTGACGTGTCTATGCAATCTATTCATTTTATTCTATTGATCTGCCGCACTTTTCTCTCACCCGTAAATTTTGACAGTTTTAGGTCCCATTCGGTCCCATTCGTTGCCGCAGAGGCAAAATGATAGGGAGCAAAAAGTGAAGTAAGGGATCGTGTACTGATCTATTGCAACAAAACTTTTGCGATCGCTACCAGCTATTTTTCGAAGCGAGAACTATGAAAATGACGAGGAAAGTGATGAAAGGGCCATATTACGGGTGTCACTACACGGTGATAAGCAAGTGATACTCAGAATAAGAGCCGTGATTACCGTACAAATCAAATGGGAATCACTTCACTGTGACGACAAGTGACAAGTTTTCACTGTGAAGTGACATCCGTAATAAACCCCGATGTTTGGATAATTTCCTTCACTATCTGACTTTTAGAAATAAAAATACTTCGACAGTGAGCATTCATAAGGGCGTATACGCGATGATCGATTCTCTTCATTGATTTTCTCTTTTCTTAATAACTCGCTAGATTTAACGTTTGTCGGTGCGTTTGTTGTTGCTTTTGAAAGCCAATACAACCTATTACAACTCTACATTGAACAAATTCTACAAAATTGTTTCGCTTAGCTGTAGCAATGCAAAGAGAAAAACGATGAAGAGAATCGATCATCGCGTATACGCCCTTATGCATGCTCACTGTCGACTTCTTCAGCTAACATTTCTAGGTAGAGCTGGAATTAGGGCGTAACAGCTTGTGGAAACAATGACTTCTAGCTGGACTTCTAGAGATGATTTCTAGGAATTCAAGGCACATCCACGCAGACCAACCTAACCATCGGATAGGGGAAGTCTTTCCCTACCCAATGAGCATGTTGTTTTGCGTGGGCGAGCCTTGAATTTCTAGAAATCATCAAGAGAAGTCATTGTTTACAAAAACTGTTAGGCCCTAATTCCAGCTCTATCTAGATTTCGACAGTGAGCATGCATAAGGGCCTATACGCGATGATCGATTCTCTTCGTCGATTTTCTCTTTTGTTAATAACTCACTAGATTTAACGTTTCTCGGTGCGTTTGCTGTTGCTTTTCATAGCCAATACAAATTGTTACAACTCTGTATTGAACAAATTCTAGAAAATTGTTTCGCTTAGCTGTAGCAATGCAAAGAGAAAAGCGATGAAGAGAATCGATCATTGCGTATACGCCCTTATGCATGCTCACTGTCGAATTCCTGAATGGTGCGGACTATAGATTCCATTGATAAGCGGAGGCACAAAAAGTTGTTTTGGCAACCATGGAAAATAAATGATCTTACTGGCATCCGTTAAAAAAGATCATGATAGAGCTCTTCGTTGTGCAGTTTTGTTTTGTTTCGTGCGTAAAAGTTCAAAATGAAGCGGAAAGCAATTTTTTGCAATAATGTATCGAGGAATGGGTTACTTTATCTTTCCTTCTTCCGTTGTCCGCGAAATAAATCGGAATATGGAGTGTGGAAAGCGTTTTGTGCTCATAATATTACAATACTTATCCCTCAAAAAACACCATGATGACGTCATGCTCGTTTGGCTACACTAACTGACAGTTCGTTTGGCTACATTATTCTTTTCCTCCGCTTATCTATGGAATCTATAGTATCTATAGTGCGGAGTCGGTCATGTGCGATCACTTTCAAGTTATTTAGCTTCGAGTCCTAAGTAAGAGTCTGTGTACACGGCGACAAATTTTACTCATCGCTGAGTTCCTGCACTTATGGCGATTATGAATGAACTAAACTCAAATTTGGGTCGTTCTCATTCACCGTGTACACAGACTCTTAAGGCCCACACGCAATATGGACGGAAGCGGAGCGGAAACGGGAAGTTTGACAGTTGTCACAAATGACATCAAGATGCCTAACCGAAGTCGATTTTGTTCTAACTAGTTTTCAATCCGACAAGTAGGCTACTCAGATCGGGCTTTTCCGCTGCCGCTGCCGTTCCACTTCCGCTGTCATTGCGCTTGGTCCTTTACTATAGTAACTGAGCCTGAATAAAATTTTCGTCAATTTCCTCATTTTTCGGCAGATGTTTTAGGTTTTCCACAGGAAACCATGAGACAAATTTACTCATCGCTGAGTTCCTGCACTTTTGGCGATTATGAGTGAACTAAACTCAAATTTGGGTCGTTCTCATTCGCCTTGTTTAAGAGTCACGGCAAGAGAAAAACATTGGAACTCGCATCACCGCGGTTTTCGAAAGATTTCCTTCACTGATAAATTTAACTATTCCCATTTTGCTTGAAATTTAATCAATTTGACATAAAACTCAGTTTAATCATATCGAATGATTAAAAATTAATCCCCTCTTTCTAAAAAATAAACATATCAGTGCCAACATTTCAAAGGGGCGTAATTGCTTTTGTAAACATTGACTTTAGCCGTCAATTTCTCACGAATGAAATCTTACCTCTCCAAAATTACAATGCTAGCTGGTAGAGGAAACATTCCTCTACCTGCTGGTGTCATTATTTTTCATGAGTGAGCTTTTATTCGCGAGAAATCGACGACTAAAGCCATTGTTTACAAATGCAATTACGCCCCTTTGAAATGTTGGCACTGATATGATATTAATCCTAGTTAAATCATGGTTGATTAGATTCTAGATTATCTTTTTTTGAATAAATTTTAATAATTTTGAATTCGATTTTAATAATTATTTTTGATTGAATTTTAATCTTTTTTGATTATATATCAGTATTGAAAAAGAATAAAATTTAAAACTGGAAAGATTATTTCGATTTTAATCATGCATGACTACTGCCGTAGTAATCATGGCTCGGACTCAATAAGGTGAAGCGGGAATCTGCATACTTTTTAAGCTTTTTTGATTTAATTTATCTTTGAGTGTTCCCTTTCACTTGGGGGCTGTTCATAAACTACGTCGATCGATTTTTAGAGGTTTAGACCCCTAGGACGTAGGTTCAAACTAAGAAGTGTCCAGTTTAAAAACAGTCAGATTCGACCAAGAAGTAAGTCTAAATTAGTGGCATTTTTTTCTCAGTGTGCCCCAAGTTTTTAATTTTTCTTTGAAAATTTCAATGATATTTAACATTGTACTCAGAAAATGAAGGCCTTTCAGATGATGTATAGAAACCGATATATTTTTTTCAAAATTAAAGAAGCCAACCCACTTAAACGCGAACCATAACTTAACCTTACCGAAAATGGTTAAATACTCTTTATAATCCCTGCTTAATTTTAACTGAAATGGCTATGGAACTTTACATGAACGATTGTGTGATAAAGTTTTACCTTACACACTAATCCAGCATTTAGTTGTTCGGTATTTTTTTGTACTGGGCTTACACGGTAAAACCATAGAGGTAACTCTAAGACTAGAAGGTCCCGAAGAAACGTGCTCAACTTTTTGGCTCAGCTCTGGTACTCTCTTCGGTCCCAAGCTAATCGATTCACCCCTCGAAACATAGGAAAAACCAATAACCCCTCATTTTATCTGTCAAACTTTCATAGCGAATCAAAACAAACATTGCGTAGTACTAGAATTTCGACTTGAATGGGATACGTTAATCGTTTGCTTGGGACCAATAGGCTAGTCAAGTAGTGAGCCAATTTAAAATCGTTAGTTTCGTATTGATTGTTGGTAAAACGAAAGATTTACTGAAAATTCAGTTTAAATCAGGTGAATAACCGACGTTCTGTAAAACACAAACTGAACTTCGGTATCGTTTGATGCAAAATACTGTACACAGAATATTTATTTACTGAGAAAGTCGTTAATTTCCCAATTTTCGTGATTTCACGAAAAGTCAGTAAAAATAATTACTGTGCACAAAGTAGTCTTTATTTTTTTACCGACTGGTCAGCAACATAGCCACCTTGTTTTACCGACCACGAATTGTAAAACTCTAACCTGTCAATTTTATTCCCGCCGCCATTTTAGCTCAGTAAAATCCGGGAGCAAGTGTTTAATCGCGCAGTTTTGTTAAAATTTGAATTATATCATGACGGAATTGAGTTGGTACCAACACTTATTATTTACTCTTTTTGCAGTTCCTTGATCTCCAACAAATTTTGATCAACGGTGCGGTGAATTGCACCAGGATTCATGCTTTTATTACTGCACATTCACTATTTTTAATATAACTGGGTAGCATGGTATAATAATGAACCAAATAACTGTCTTCTCAGTTAAATTGCAGCAAAACAAACAAAAAGAAAATACTGGGTTTTCCAGTATACGCAACTCGAACCAATTACTGAATGAACAGTTATTTTTGACAGATTGACTTTACGGACAGTTCGGTAATGCAAATTATTTCTGTGATGATTACTGGGCGATCCGCAATTCAAAAACCCAGCAAAATTTTACTGACTCCAGTAATCTAAAGTTAGTGTGTATGAATAATGATTCTTAGTTGGTATAAATTACAATCATCAGAATGCAAATTCATTCTACAACAGGAGGATAATTTGCTTCAGTGTCGGATGTCGAAATGTCAAAAAATTATCAACAAGCTCCATCTCGTTGTTGACAGTCTCACACAAAAATTAGTGCAACAAAAATGCTAATAGATTCTTTATCTGCTCGGAAAATTTAGGTAAAAAATATCGAATAAACTCCGATTGGGCAGTGAAAACTTCTCGGTAAAATGTGGATTCCTCCGCGGGAGTGTGCGATGCCGTTCGCATTGTGGTAAGTCCGCAGCAAAGCACCAATATTATCGACCTTTGTGTTCATCGGTGATCGATTTTTCCCAATCTGTATTTTTGTTTTTGTTCCGCATTTGCCTCTCTTCCAGGACCACCGAAAGTACGCTGACCACGTCCAACTATTTCCTGCTGCAGCACCGCAAAGGCCACGGCAGCCAGCGGGGATTTTCGTCGATGCTCGTCGGCACATTGGACAATGTCTTGGACACGAAACCGTCGCCCTATCGGATCTTACATGTTCAGCCGTCCACGGGACTTTATTATGGTGAGTCTAATCATAGCTATAGGTAGTATTCTGTAATTTCGAAATGGGTGTACGACTTAATCAGCTCCGGTCGATAGTGCTAGTTTAATTTGACCAGCGACGAGCTAGTTTAACCATTCGCACTAAGTTGTTACTTTCGCAAGAGCTTCTCGCACGCAGATAAGAAATCATATGGAAATGATTCATGATTCGTCCGTTGCCTTGTCTCTTTTACACATCTACGCTGTGATTTTGCAATGGTCGTGGTTTCTGTGCTTGCTCATCGCTGATATTGTCAAACATTAGAGGCTGGTTTTTGTATGTTTTACTCTTGTCCTAGATTTTGATCTGAGATCATCTAAGCATGCAAAGAATGTAGGTCAGGTGATGTTGTAATATTCACATATCATTTTTATAATACCACTGTAAAGGATCACCATGTGTAATAACGCTGTAGGCAATGTCTTTTTTAATGACCCTTAACCCTCTAATAATTCTGCATACTTTCTTCGGAATGCCTACAAACCAATATTTAAAGATGGTAGAAATTACTTTGGTCTATATCAATTTAGGGTTTCTATAGAATATAGCTTTATTTCTGCACAACACATTTTTTCAATTTACCCCGTCAGCAGAGGGTTAAATTTGCTTTGTGAGCATTTATTTCGTTGTTAAATTAATTCTACTGTTTCCTAAAATATTCCACAAACCTTACAGAAATTGCCTCGGACATCACACTGGAAGCGATTCTCAAAGATTGGGAGTGGCTTTCGAAGAACCTATTCCGGGTGATCAACGAAATGGAAACGGAAGAGGAAATCACCAACTTCACGATTTGCAAAATCCAATCCCTTCTGGCGCACTGCTCGCGCAATAGCGAAGAAATGGTCGATCCGACTAGCTTCCAGATCGTGGTCAACAAATTTCGGGACAAGTTTAAGATGCCCGAGGATGAAAAGCTGGTCAGTTACTATTCGTGCAGCTACATCAAGAGAGTTCCCCGGCAGGGTCAGATGTATCTCTCGCTGAACCATCTATGCTTCTATTCGTACATTTTCGGTGCGGAAAGCAAACTCCGGTTCAGGTACAACGAGCTGACAGATATCAAGAAGTCCGGCACGATGATCACGATCAAAACTACGCAGAACAAAGAGTACACGTTTGCTTTTCTGTACCCACCCGGCGAGGTTTACAATCTGATTGAGCAGTTGAGCAAGATTACGATGCAGAAGTTGATTCAGGATCCGGACCGGCCAATTGTGGATCACGATCCGGTGGTTGGACGGAAGATGGAGAAAAATGTTGGCTTCAAGACGGTGTTGTTGCGGGATTTGACGACCCGGCAGCTTTCGGATGAGTATCGGGCGCTTTTCCGGCTGCCGGCCGTGGAGATACTGGATGGGAGAATTACGTCAGCGCTGTGGACACCGTACACCAAAAAGCACGTGAACGGAATGATCTACCTGTCGCAGGGCTATCTGTGTTTCAGGAGCGATGTTTATGCGTTGGTGGGGTTGGTCATTCCTTTGAATAAGATTGTGGTGGGTTTTAGTTTTCTGGGGCGTGTGGGAGATTGGAATACTAATGGATCTTTCGGTGATTTCAGAGTGTGGAAAAGAAGGAAGATCCTTTCGATCGGTTTAGCAATCGGATCATCATTACGACGTCGGATGCCAATATCTTTCTGTTTTCGCATATTCTTGATCGTGATTTTTTGATTAGCCGAATTTCGGATCTGCTGTCCAAGACAGTCACGTAAGTTGGGGAGAAAATAGGGATATTATTCCAGGCTAGATTTTTGAATCATTGAACATTTCAGTCCAACCAAACCCACCGATGATATTGACTGGACAAAACAAGAACCACTGATGCACCTTTTCAAGGATCCAGATAACAAGGAATTCGATGATCTGCAGGCTGAAAAGGTCCGTATTATGAGCACTGTGTGAGCGTGTTTGTTTTGTGTGGGGAAATTCTCTTCTTCGAATGTCCGAATAAAGCTCGGACCCAAGAATTTTCCGTACTTCTCACGTTGTACTTCTCATCACTTTACAGTTGAAAAAGTGGGACGATCATTTCTCCATCTACGGTCGTGGCATATCGATGTTCCGGACAACGGAAACCATCAACCTGGTGATCGACGGCATTCCGGATCAGCTGCGTCGCGAAGTGTGGATGATCTTTTCCGGTGCAATCCATATGAAGCTGATCAATCCGGGCCTGTACAAAGATCTGGTTCAACGGGCCAAGGACAATCAAAAGTCGTCGACGTTTGAGGAAATTGAACGGGACCTGCATCGATCGCTGCCGGAACATCCAGCATTCCAGACGAACATTGGCATCATGGCTCTGCGAAGGGTTTTGCAGGCCTATGCCCTGAGGAATCCAGAGATCGGCTACTGCCAGGCGATGAACATCGTTTCATCGGTATTCCTGATCTACTGCGACGAGGAAGATGCCTTCTGGATATTGAGTTGCCTGTGTGAATCGCTGCTTCCGGATTACTACAACGATAAGGTGGTCGGAGCGCAGATCGATCAGGGTTTGCTGGACGAGCTGATCGCTAGTCATCTACCGAATTTGCATGTGAAGCTGGGTGACCTGGGCATGATCCGGATGATTTCGCTGTCCTGGTTCTTGACGATCTTCCTCAGCGTGATGCCATACGAGAGTGCACTGCACATAATCGACTGCTTTCTGTGTGATGGAGCAAAAGTGATATTCATTGTAGGCTGGGAGGTTGTTTTGAGAGGCAAACAGGTGGTAATTTTTGTTGCAATTGCAGATAGCTTTAAAAATCCTGGAATGGAACCAGGAGAAACTTTTAAACTGTAACGACGATGGAGAAGCCATGCAATTGCTGTCCAACTATCTGATAGGCATCTTTAACGATGAGGTGCAGCAGATCAAAACAATCGACAAAGATCGGAATCAGGCGAGGGTAATATCGAGAGTTGGATTTGCTTCGGGGAGCTTTTAGAAATATTGAAACTTTTTTGCAGAGTCAATCAGTGCAAACGCTTATCTACGAAGCATATCATCGATTCGGGAAAGCAATAACATCACAGAAAATTGAGGAACTCAGGAACAAACATCGGCGCTTGACGGTTCATCAGTTGGAGAAGGATTTGGAAAACAGTTTCGTCAAAAACTTCAAAGAAAATGGGTAACTTTCGATGTTTCAATCCATCAAACTCCAGTTCATGAAACCGTCAAATTCTAGCTACTTTGACGCCGAGGAACTACGGATGCTTCTATGCTACACCAAGGACGAAAAGCAGAATCTCAAAAACTGCAGCCGCCAATCTTTTGTGAACGGAAGCGAGCCGGTCTTTGACGCGGCCGTGCTGCACGATGTCAAGAAATGTTTCCGGGACAACCGATACGACTGTTTCCGGGTAGATTTTGATACCTTCCGGCGGCTCTTCATCGATCTGACGCCGTGGGGTCACGTGCAAAATATTGACGTGGCCGAGAAGTTGTTTAGAGTGAGTATCGCCATAATCCGTCTGGATTCTGATTTCATTTCAATTCATAATTAACTTTGGTTTTCAGCTAATGGACAAACAGGTGTGTGGATATCTTGAATTCAAGCAGCTCATTTTTGCGCTGGGAATCATTTGCTCAAAACGTGCAACAGAAAAGCTGAAACTGTTGTACATTCTGCATCTGCCACCGCTGTTGTCATCGAAGGAAATCGAGAGTAGTAGCCAGATGGGGCTAAAGGATTCCGATACGGAAGTTGCGACGGAGGCCGAGAGTTTCTTTAGGTAAGCCGGTACCGGGTTTAACTCGGATCTGTGAAGTTTAAAGCGAGCTTAAGCGGAAGGTTATGAGTTTCATTATTAGTCATCTATGGTTCAGGGTGGCCAGCAAATTGGGAAAACCGTGAAATAAGCGGGAATTTGAAAAGAAGCCGGGAAAACCGAGAAAAAGTCGGAAATTTGACGGGAGAACTTTCGCAAAACTGTCCTCAGAAATCCTTTGGAATTCTCCTCAGAATACCTTGGAATTCTGTGCTGAATTTCGTGAAACTTTCTCAAAAATTTAATTTACATTCTTCAGCATTTTTCTTTATTTATCTCAGAACACGATTCCTTCGACATTTTTCTCGGATCTCGCTTAAAGTTGTCTTGTGATTCTTTTTCAGTACTCCTTTGAAATTATTATCAGAAAATCCTCACAACTCTTTCCTAGGAATTCTTCTTGAAGTTTTCCCACAACTCCCTTGTAATACTTCTAAGAGTTCGTCAGGACTTAATCCTTGAATTAATTTAGGATTCTTGTCAGAGTTTCGTTGAATTTTTCTTCGAGTTTTTCTCAGAATTTTTAATTTTCGAAATTCTATAAAAAATTCTTCTTTTATTCAGGGAATAAAATATATTTTTGATTTACTCTAGCCAATTAACGTTGAACTTGAAACAATAAAACAACAAATTTGCCAAGGGTATGCTGCGGTTGTCAAAAAAAAATCCAATATCTAGAGCCACATGTGAAAAGGGCATACAACCGTTTTGTAAACAAATCTTTGTAAACCCTTTTGTCGCCAACCGAGGGTCTTACTTACCTTACCAATCAGGCTAAGGCCTTGTTGTCCTCTGCTGTCCGAAGAAGTCGTCTCCACTCTACTCGATCCATGGCCACAGTTCGCCAGCCTCGTAGTCTGCGAAGGGTCCGCAGGTCACCTTCTACTTGGTCGATCCACCTTGCCCGCTGTGCGCCTCTTCTTCTTGTTCCTGTTGGGTCGCTTTCTAGAACCATTTTCACTGGGTCATCGTGCGGCATTCTTACGACGTGCCCAGCCCACCGTAGTCGCCCAATTTTTGCAATGTGGACGATGGATGGTTCTCCCAGCAGCTGGTGCAATTCGTGGTTCATTCGTCTCCTCCACGTTCCGTCATCCATTTGCACTCCACCGTAGATGGTACGCAACACCTTCCGTTCGAAAACACCAAGGGCGCGTTGGTCCTCCACGAGCATAGTCCAGGTCTCGTGGCCGTAAAGGACCACCGGTCTAATCAGCGTATGCAGACAGTCAACTTCGTGCGGCGGCGAATTTTATTCGACCGGAGCGTCCTCCGGAGTCCAAAGTAGGCACGATTCCCTGCCATAATGCGTCTTTGAAATTCTCTGTTGGTATCATTTTCGGCGGTCACCAGTGAGCCCAAATACACGAACTCATCAACTACCTCGATTTCGTCACCGTCAATCTGAACTCGGGGTGTGAGGCTAACATTGTCTTCCCTAGAACCTCTTCCTTTCATGTATTTTGTCTTTGAGACGTTGATGGCAAGTCCAATCCGCCTGGCTTCAGCCTTCAGTCTGATGAACGTTTCCGCCATCGCCTCAAAGTTCCGTGCCATGATGTCAGTGTCATCGGCGAAGCCAAGAAGCTGGCTGAACTTCCTAAAGATCGTGCCATTCTTGTCTATCCCTGCTCTTCTGATCACACCTTCTAACGCGATGTTGAATAGCAGACACGAAAGTCCATCACCTTGCCGTAGCCCTCTTCGAGATTCAAAGGGACTCGAGAGTGTCTCCGATACTCGAACAACGCACATCACTCGATCCATCGTCGCTTTGATCAATCGCGTCAGTTTATCCGGAAATCCGTACTCGTGCATAATCTGCCATAGCTGATCTCGATCGATTGCGTCGTATGCGGATTTGAAATCGATGAACAAATGATGTGTGGGCACGTTGTATTCGCGGCATTTCTGCAGAACCTGCCGAATCGCGAAAATTAGGTCCGTGGTAGCGTGGGCACCCATCAATCCCACCTGGTATTGCCCCACGAATTCTCTTGCAAATGGTGACAGGCGGCGGCATAGAATTTGGGAGAGTAGAGGGACTCTATGACAACCAATTAACCACTTTATTCGAGCAGTTAAAATGACGTTTACTACCACTCGAACTTTGAAATAAAACATTATTTTGCCTGTGGACTTGGAGACATACTTCAAGTCCCCGCGTACATCGTACGGGTTAGGCAAAAATGTGCGTCTATCTTGAAAAACTGACGCATTAATGGCCCTTCGCTCATTTTCAACTTCTATTCAATTTTCATACTGCCGTACTCTAACGGAACTATCCACCTACCCTCTTCTAAAGATCATTCTCTAGCTAATAAATCATCACACTAAAGCTTCATATTAGCATTTCCAACCAACTCTGATTATTTTGAGATTTTTTCTTCTAGGACCTCGAGAAAAGTAGCCAACATTTGTGCGTTTCATAAAAAATATAAATTATTTGGTCCAGTTTTGTGAAATCGCTGGTAGAAAGTCACGCCAAAACTGCTTGACAAAGTGGTCAATTCAAAAAGTTTTGATACACCACTCTGCGACGTGATTCCCGGTAGTTGTTTACGTCGCGTTTGCTTTGCTTTTTATGAACAGGAAACAAATCCGCAAGACGGAAAGATGCCGCTGGAAAGAGAGAGTTGGAATATGCGGCGCAGTGGATCTAAAAGACAAGTGATGTTCTTTTTAAGAATAATCAACGGAACATCATCGGGTTCAGCCTTAGCAGAAGTCTTAAGTTTAGATGCTGCTCTAGAAATCGTATCTGTAGTGGCTTCGACCATGCTGAGAGTTTGGTTGACCAAAGGAACAGTACTGGCCGCGGAAGTAATGAGATTAGCGGAGAGTTGCTCGTCTTCAAACACACTAGCAAATTTGGCTGAGAACAGGATGTTGAACATAGACAGCATTAGAAGTGCTTCTAAACTGCAAGCAGCCGGCGGAGGTTTCGGTATGGTGACGAATGAGCAGTCTTGAACGACGGTAGCAGATGACGTTTATCAGTGAAGGTTGAGGAATCGGTGCATTGAGGCGTTGCACTGGAACACTTTTGAAAGACAACGTTGTCATATTTTGAAGACAAGTAAGACAGATGCGCTGGGTTTTGACGTGCTGGTACATCTATCGTACTCGTCTGATATATGAGTCTAACCGATTTCCACCTTTCAGATCTTGTTAGCACAAGATTGATAGAATCGACAAATGGTCGCTGTTATGGCTGTTTTTACAAGGTAAATCAGCCATGACAACGACCATTTGAGGATTCTATTAACCTTGTCCCTAAGCATGTGATCCACAGTAAGACTTTACATTCCAAAGAAGAGCTACCGCATAATAATTTATCATTTCTGTTACAGTTTTACTTTACGGTTAATCGATCATTAGTTTCATGGTTACCAATACTCTATAATTTTTTTTACATATTTTACACTTTTGAGTTACAAGAAGAGGTTGTAAAGTATGTGACTGATGTATGGCGATGATGATGATGATGTTATTGATGTCTTTGCTAGGAAATAACAGTTATGATTCGAGCTCATTTCGGTCAAATTACTGAATGGAAAATCTCGTATCTCCTTCCTTCCAGTGACAACCCAATCGAAACCATCAAATCACTTCCGTCCCCGATCGACATCAGTCTGGAAGCAACGGACGTGGAAAACCTTTCGCTGTCCCATTTCAACGCCACTCCGAACCTGTCCATTGACGAATCATCTACCAACGCTGAAACGTCATCGATTTTCTACGTTGATCTACCCGGCGGCTCGGCAATGGGTGCCGCTTCCGGAAGCAACGTCGACAAAGCCTCCACAGGCAATGCCAACCTGGGAGAGGGCGAATCCTACGGTTCGCGTTCGGATCTCAGCGATTTGGGGTTCAACAGGATCAGCTACGACGATGCAAGCAGCAGTACGACGACCAACGGACGGCGGTTGACCGGTAATGAAACGAGGAGTATCAGCAGTCTGCGGATATTCCTGGATGAGCCGGACTCGAATTTTACCAACAAAACCATTCCCAACATGACACAGAAAAATTTCCTGGCACTGTGGACTACGCTGCTGGAAATTCTTAACAAGGGCAGACGGATAGCCGATAGCGAAGTACAGCAAGCTTGTAAGTTTTTATAAGGGCGTTCTGCATATAGTGATTTTGATTAAATATTTTGCCATTTCCAGACAACAAATTAATTGATCTGGGGAAGTATGCATTTCTGAACAATAGTGAAGACAGCATCGACAGTCTCACTCAGTTTACATTCCCGAATCCAAGCGAGGTAAGGAAATTGAAACACTACGAATTCAACATAATTCCAAACAATTTTCTTCGGAAGACGGATCCCAACGGAAATCCATCAAGCTCCAATCCGGCTGAACCATCAACGTCGTCACCGAAGCGGAATTCCTCGGAAGATCGTTCAACGGAGGATGCCTGGGAGATTACCCTTAACCAATTCATCGCCACTACAGTTTCGGTCAGTTCCATAGATGAACATTTTTCCCAATCGTTTTCCATCAAATCAAGGGTGGAAATGCTCCAGAAGAACCGACGGAAGTGCAAAAGTTAGATTGCTTGCTATGAGTTGAGCTTGAGAAGGGGTAAGTTGGTGGTAAAATCAGTCGCTTGTACCAGCTTGGACGTGGCCACGCCTTTGGATCATACGTAAATAGAAACCGGAACTAGGCGTGGTCGGCTTGTTTTATCTTGATTTCGGTATATGAAAAAGTGCTCTTTCGTGTGAAGAAGGCTCCTATTCCGCTGCGATATGTACAAAAAAAAAAAAAAACAACACGATAATATCAACATATATACAACACCACACACTCATATAAATATCCCTTGTCAGGGACGGAACTAGACAAGGTGAAATATTCGGTCCGTAAAAGTGTACCTTTATCACACAATATTCTTGGCAATTGTAGAGGGACATATTATTGTTATGGTTTATCTCTGCGATGATTATAAATTATAGTGAAAGCCATATTTTTTTAGTGTAAATCTGAAGGTTGTGTTGTGGTTTTGATGATCCGAAAGCCTTCTGATGATGATTTTAATCCATTCATTTCGGATTATTAATCATTTGAAATCACCCTCCCCATGGACATGGAGGTTGACGGTACTGAAGCAAAGGGTTATGTTTAATTTATTTATATTTGCAACGATGATGATTTCCCATAGTGACACATATCACCTTCTTAATGCTTCAGTATACCTCAAACGATTAATTCTTGGTTGTTAATAGAACTTCCTTGATAAAATCGGCTGCTTCATGCAGACTGAGCAATTCTGATTATAGTATCAGATTTGTTCTGTATACAGAGAAACTGGGAGGGCTTATTAGAAACTTCTCACCAATAAAGTAATGACCTTCTAGTAAATTTTGCATATCATTTTATTAATATTTTATTTTATTTAAGCATATTATTTTTGTTACAGTCAATTAGTATTAGCATACAATACAAGAGATTTAATATTACTTGCTCGGTTTTGCGTAAAATAATCAATATGTATTTTGCTTGTAATTACCTATGAATTTTTTTTTGTGATTTCAAAATTTTCCTAGTTTGGTTAGAAGTTTCGAAGCTAACACATGTCCACAGGCCTAATAGAAAGATAGACAGACAAAGCGTATCATGAAGAATAGTTGCATGCAGGGTTGCTTCCACTCACTTTCTATAGATGAGTGATTTTCGGAGTTTTGAATTCGTTAGATGTTGTAATGGAGGTTTGTGTTGCTGGATGCGGGAGGAGATTGAAGGGCGGGTGTTTGACGCATAGAGCCTGTCAATTTCGCTTTCGGAGTGTCGCAGTCAGCGGTTTTATGAATCGTGAGCGCTCGCGATTCGTAGAATCGTTGATTGCGACTGCCAGTGGATTTGGCGGGTTTTGTGTATCGGACGCTTGCTTTTTGACCTTTTCTTGTGTCTAACATGTGCAGAGTATCATTATAGCGTCTAATGGTTTTGAGATTCCTGGTTGCGTGAAATATACTTGTGAGAATATCTTTTTGAGATTTTAGTAGTCACGTTTTGTTTGTAGTTTATATGTTATTTGTTATTTCTTTCATGTAGTTATCGTAAATAATAGTTATTCAATGATAGATAGTTCATCCATATATTCAATAATAAATTTACGAATGACTATAATTTGGATACCTAACAATTGGACAGAATCACTAGCAAGAATAGGTTGTGTTCGCCTTCGAAAATATCGATTCGTTTTTTCAGGGTTGTAGTTTTGGTTTTCATCAGTGGCTCGGCTCTGATTGTGAACGATTTAGGTAGTATTTTTAGGTAACTATTTAGCTTTTAGCACAACTTTGCTACTACGAATCCACAAAAGACATTAAATTGGAGGCGGATTCTGGTACGGAATTACAGGCTGCTATTCTGAGCAACTTATCTTCATAAAATTAAAAATTACATTTAGGTTTTAATTAGCAAATATGAATAGTAGTTAACTTTAACATAATTTTGATAAAACAATCATTTCATCCAGTTCACTTTAAAACAAACAAGTATGAAAGGGGATTGCTTAGAATAAAGATAAAAGTAATAAGCGCAATATTAAACGACATTAAATTTGAATCTGATACGGTAGGCCATATAACAGAGTCGATAGCCATTGCAAATCAACCATCTCTACCTGCTTATTTTCCTAACTTTCACTATTATTGCTGTTACTCTGACTATCCCCTATGTTCAACAGCTTTCCTTACTATCCGGTATCGTAAACAGGATTCATTTGACCCCTGTGGTTATTATTCTGTGATGCCAAATCTATACCTCTATCCTGGTGCAGTATGGACAGCGATTTTTCGCTGGTGACTTAGCCCTATGACCCCCTTCTGTGCTTGAAAATGAAAATGAAATGAAAATGAAAATGAAAATGAAAACTGAATGATATACTTCCCATGTAAGTCGGAAGAAATTTCTGGAAATATTTGAATTTGTCTCTTAATGGTACCGACAAAACTTTCAGAGGAAGAATAAAGAAGATATTGTGGAGGAAGTTTGAAGGAAGTTCTAAGAAATGTCAGAAAAAAACATCTGATGGGGATCTTCCGAGACAAATATTGAGAAACTTCTGGATTTTTTTAGAAATTTCCGGAAAAATCCAGAAAACAGACCAGTTTGGAAATCGAAAACCAGAAGAAGCTCGGAAAAACCTTCCAATAAGTCGAGAAAAAAAAAAACCCACGGAGAGTGATTTATGGAGAAACTTCCAGAGGAAGACGAAAGAAACTTCTGTGAGAACTCGATAGATACATCCGGTAGAACTTTAATTGAACTTCCTGGAGAATACACTGGGAGAAACTACCTAGAATAGATTGAAAGAAACTTCTGGAAAAGTCGAACGCCAGAGGGCTTACGGAACAGTCGAAAGAAACAGGAAAAGATGGAAAATATCTGGAAGAAATATATTTCTGAGGGATGTTAGCACAATATTCCCTGAAGTTCCTCACATGCTCTATTGATCCAGAAATTTTCATATTCATAAAACATCCCTGAAAACCCCACAATGTCCCTGAAATTTCTCGGAACATGCCTGAATTGTTCCTTTTTTTTATTTAACGTCGGTCTCTGTTCCGCAATCTAGTGCCAATCACCGACGGACATCGATTGCCATCCATTGATGGCCATCTAATGTGCAGGAAGGCAACTTCCACACCTGCGTAGGATATCGCACCCATTCAACACACATGGGCCGGGACCAACGGCTTTACTTCCCTTCCGAAGGAAGACGTGACCAGCGATTTTTATGCCTCAGAAAAATCCCACCGATCTCGGCTGGGATTGAACCCAGACCCATTGAGGTGAGAAAGCAGTCACGCTTACCACTACACCACCGGCGCCGGCATTCCTGAATTGCACTTCACGTAATTCCTCGGAACTCCTTGAAAGTTCTTGCAATTTTCCTTAAGTTAATGGGACTGTTTTGAAGTTCTCTGTTCATCCTCGAAGTACTCGAAACTTCCCTGATTATTATGAAATTACCGAAAAATCTCTTATCTTCTTTAAAAGTCCCTGGATCTTCTTTAGTGCTCTAATTTTTTTTTAAATTAATGAACAGCAGCTTTAAAGTTCTCTGATTTTTTTAATTTTTTTTTAAAGTTTTCGAACTACCGATAAAAAACACAGACCCTCCCTTAAAATGTTCCAAACGATTTTCTAATACTTATGTAACTTCCCTTACGTTTCCAAAATTTTCATGGACCGCTCGGAAATTTGCTGAAGTTTTCGGAAATTTCCTGAGTTTCTCGGAACTCATTTAAAGGTTCAGAAATTTCCTTGAATTTATATGTCCTGATGTTCTCAGAGCTTTCCTAAAGTTATCTCAATTCTCCTGAAACAAATGGAACTATACTAAAAACCATTAAATTTCTTTGAAGTTTTTTGGACTTTGGAGTTTTAAGTTTCCTTAAGTTCATTGGAGTTCTCTGAGGTTTTCCTGAGATTCCCAGGTTCTTGAATTTGAACAGAATTAATGAAACTGTCTTTAGTTTATCGGAACCTACTCAAAATTCCGAACTATTATTAAGTTTCAGAACTTCCGAAAAGTTCCTGAAGTTTTCCTGAAGCTAGGAAGGAATTGGAAAATAACTTACAGGGTAAGGTGGACGGAAATTCCTAGGGAAAGTTGGAAGAAACTTCAAAGGGAAGATTAAAGAAATTTCAGGAAGTTCAAAAATCAACGTTCTTATGGACGCATTTTTCCACTGAATAAAAGTATTTCCAGATTTTCAGAAATTACCGGGATGAGCCATCAGCTGTTTCTCGACTCCTTGGTAACCAAAAACGGCGAGAAAATTGAAGTCGAAAGAGTATCAAGCATAAGACATTTTTGAAGATGAGGCAGGCTCAAAAAATTTAATTTTTAAAAAGATAAAAGTCTCTTACAATAGTTTCCTCTGACAATTCAGTGCGGGCAGGCAGTAATCATTTTGATTATTAATGAGAAATCTGTATAAATCGGTATTAAAACTCATAAATCGGTATTCTGGGGAACTTTATCTGTATACCGGAATCAAGTTTGAAAATCGATATAAATACCGATAAATCGGTATATCTGGCAACGCTGATCCAGGGACTGGATTGGATGTGACTGATGTGAGGGGTGTCAGACCCCCTTCACTGTTTAGAATTTATAGAGACAGATAACAGCGCCAAACGGTTTGTGGCGAGTCAACGTTGAACTGCAGCGTTGGAAGAAAACACGCACACCAACATCTATGCATGTACGAACCCACACCACTGAGCGGACGGTACAGCACAAATCAAAACACAAAGCGCATCACTCATCGTCATCATTTAGTTTCGGCAGCTTCCGTTTGCGCTTACATTCGCCGGCGTTATATAATACGAAAGTAATCATTAATTCAACATAAATTTTGAATAGAATGCGTACTGCGTTGGCCAAGGAAGACGGCATATTTTATTAAGTTTTTGAGCAATGATTTCGATTCGTTGCATTTACAGTGGCTGGGGTGTTGGAATAATTCTTTTTTTTTTTTTTTTTTTATATCTTTATTAAGGAGACTTTCAGCCCTGGGCTGGTTCGTCTCCTTGGAATAATTCTTTATAGGGTGTTTAAACTTGCGTTGATTCACGCGCTAATGAACTTGTCGTTCGCAAAACCCATATGCGTTTTTAATTAGCATCGCTATGTAGCGATTAGTATGATGGGAACAGTTTTTCGATGCTGATTAACATTGGAGCATCAATTTCTGACCAGAGATGCAACATATCTAGATAGAGCTGGAATTAGGGCGTAACAGCTTTTGTAAACAATGACTTCTATCGATGATTTCTAGGAACTCAAGGCACGCTCACGCAGACCAACATAACCATCGGATAGGGGAAGTCTTTCCCTACCCGATGAGGATGTTGGTTGCGTGGGCGAGTCTTGAATTTCTAGAAATCAT